CTCTCTTGATTTTTGTCCAAAAAAAAAAAAGACTCAAAACACAGTTTTGCTTCAGAATTTTCAGTTTTTGGAAAATTTCCATTTTTTTATTGTATTCTGGAATGGAAGAAATTTTGAAATAGCAAAGCTCTCCCCAAAACTAACAAACAAAACATGGTTACTGTACCACTCTGGCTCTGATCCTGAAAATAATTTTGCATGTGTTTTAACATTAAGCACAAGAGTAGTCACATGAAGTTGATGGGGCTATAGAAGTGCTTAGAGGTAAGTGTGTGTATAAGTAGATCAGTGAGGGGACTGTCTCCACCTGCCCTGCAACCTTTGGTGCCTCACAACTCACAAACAGCCTGCCATCATGCAGGTAACACCCTGAGTGTCTGTGTATAGCGGCAGCCTGCCAACACACTCCAGTCTCTCACTGGCTTCCAGCAGCCGTTACCCCCAAAACAAATTTAGGGTACCCCCAGAATAGCTCACCTACAAACCAATCTGTTTTCCTAAGGTATAGGTCTCCAGGGTGGCTAAAGAAATACCTGGAGGATGTGGATAAATAAAAGCCTTCCAATAAATGACTGACACACAGACTGTGTTTCTTTCCAAAACAAGGCACCTTTTTATTGGTACAAGTAATAATCCCTAATACAATAATCTAAAACACAAAGCCCTTACAACAAGTTAGAGCACTCCAAACCACAGTAACATATAGTTAAGATGATTCTAAGTGGTTGCACTCTGTTACAGATGGCCAGTCTGTCACAGGCTGCTGACAGCAATTCTTAAATGTACTGTAAGTCTTGCGTATATACATTGCTTTTACTATTAACATAACACAAACACACCCCTTCACTAACCTAAGCGCACATGCGCACACACTATACTAATAATTGACAGGTTTACTCTGTCTGCTGACTTCAGCTGCTGGGTCTGCTGCCGGACAGGATGCTGTGCTGTTGCTTTCTTCTTCAGGTCTCCTGTCTCTGCTTTGCTTCACTTTGCTCGTATCTATTCTTCACCTAATTCCTCTCTCTCTCTCTTTCCTGTCGACTCCTGTCAACTGTCCTTTATACTGTCCTGTCAGAACTTTCTAGATGTTTTTTTAAATATCTCTGTCAGATCTTTACTGCACATGCTCACTGCCACATTCCGTGCATGCTCACTGCGAGTTCTATTTTTAGCCTGCAACCATTGATTACCTCAGTTATGATTTGCTGACCTTTCCCCTACTTTGGTTTTCCCACCAATTCTATGTTGTCTACAGCATCTGATCTTTCCCCTACTTTTCGAAGTACCATGTGACCTGCAGCTTCCAATGGCGGAATGACTCTTGCTTACTCAAAAATGGAGGTCAGGAATACAAAATGGAGTCTGGGGAATATCTCTGGTAACGCAGCTGTAGTTACCACATGGTAACCCCCACACACTCTCAGTCCCAGCTTTCCCCCCAAAACATGTGTTCTTCACTGTCCAGACCTCCCCTGGACAGTCCAGATATATTCGGTCTGTTGCCCCTCTAAGGGATCAAGATGAAACATTTGCTATCTCAAATGGAATTACCCACAGTTTAGAACACTGGTTTAGTTTTGATTAAAGAATAAAACAAGCTTATTTAATTACAAAGAGAGAGGTTTTTAAGTGAATACAAGTAATGAGGCATTAAAGTAATAAATGGTTACAAAAATAAAGATAAAATACTTTCTAAACTTAACAAACTAGACTTTGTTCAAGATGAAGTCCCTTACCACATGTTCCAGTAACATTACTGACCAAACTCTCAGACTTGGATCTGCTCCCAAAGTCCAATGGCTGTTCCTTTTTTCCCCCTTAGGTGAAAAGAGAGAGATGGGCGGGGAAAGAGAATTTGGGGTGGTTTTACCCCCTCAGTTTTATAGTTCAATCATCCTTTGAAATGCATTTTCCTGAGAGTGTCCTCCCGATAAAATTCTTTCCAGCAGACAGCAAGGAGACATGGAGTGTGGTGGGGGAAGTTCCATGCTGTTCGTTTTCACCTGTGTATGCTGAAATGCAGATTTCTCTTGTCTCTTGCCTTCCCTGCTTTCCATGCCAAAAAATGGCTGCTTGATAGGTGATTGCCAATCAGCTTTGACACCCAGGTAGGGGTGTCCTCTTGTCCTTCATCTTTAAGAAACAGGTGAGAAACAGGCTTGCCCGTTCCCCGGACACATTTCAATCATGATTTCATTTTATGTTCATATAATGTTGCTACATATATTTCACCATATTATTGACCTGCAAGTTTTATTCATTTTCTGATGATACCTTACAAGACATATTTTGTATTCAGAGTATTACAATGGTGTGTAGAGTGTGAATACAGGGGTGCATTCCATCACAATAAGCGTTTGTGGTATTTGGCTGAAATTATTACAGTATATTACTCTGAGATATGAGATTGTGATTATAGGTAATTGGCTTCATTATAATAAATGAGTTGCATTAATTACTATAAAATTGGAGTACCATAAGAGTGTTTCAGAATCCTTAAGTAACAACAAATAATGTATTAAACTAAAACATTTAACAATAATTGAGACACAAGATACTGATTTTACCTCTTTGTATATTTTTTGTTCTACTGCCATTTCCAAATATTTTAAGACTGGTATTGATCATAAAAATGAAAATGTGAGTATCTTTTGAGAGACAAGGTGTCAATTGCCCATTTAATTTTGAATGGTTTCTTGTTAACTCCTTATGCTTAACAATCTGTTCCACTTGGCACATCACCATGTGACACTCTGATTACCTTTCCCAGACCTGAAGAAGAGCTCTGTGGAGCTCAAAACATTCTCTTTCACCAACTGACATTGGTCAAGTAAAATATATTATCTTACCCACCTTCTCTCTCTAACATCCTGGGACCTACATGGCTACACCACCACTGCAAATATATTTTCAGTAATTTATAAATCAGTCTCAGCATTGCAATAGCTAAAGATAAAAATAAATAAATTAAATGAAGATAAGTAACTTTGAAAATGACACTCTTTTTAAAAGAGCCACTAAAAATTAATGTCAAATGAGATGTCAAAATTTTCTGATCCATGTGACATGATTGAGATAATCATTTCTGCTTTTATTGTTCAATGAATAGCAAAATAATTTGTGACTAGACAGGCTTTAACCTAGTAGATATTTTACTCAGGACTTTGTGAAATGTAAATTCTATGCCAGTGAAACAGTATTTCCAATGAGATTACTTGGAAACATTTAGAACCCTTTAAAAACATCAGTTCAAAGGTTTCCAAATGTCAAAGATCAGGTTTAAACTTTAACATTTACACAATTCCCCTTTAATATTTTTCCTGTAGTATTTAGTATAAAAATGAACTCTCTCTCTCTCACACACACACACCCTATGTTAAAAGAATGTGAAGGCTGAGACAAAGCACAATGAAAGAAAATGCACTTAGGAGTGAAACCTGCCTTATGCCCTCTAATTCTCCAATAGGGCACATCAAGAAGGAGTTAAGGAGATGTCCTGTTATGCGTAAGTATTGGAGAAAATACAGTATAGTAAGTGTCTTCCTTTACCTGTGCATTTTATTACTTTTCTCAGTTTGTGTCACAACCTTAATGTTCTTTTAATGTAGTTTTTGAGTGTGAATTATAATTGCTTTCTGTTTAGTTGTTATCATCCTAGAGATCTTTACTCTGATTAGATTGTCTTCCCCAAACGAAAGTGCATTTGAAGTCTGTGATAAACTAGGAACAATTAGGAGAAATCCAGATGCATTTTTTTTCTGCTAGTGGTACATTGTAATCCCATAGGCTCACTGCTAATGAGTCTGGATGCATTAGCAGCGGCCATAGTTGATTTTAATCTGACTCTGGGAAAGCTCTAGTTTTCATGGAGTTACACTGGTTTCCCATGCAATTCCATTGGATTGAATTTCCAGTGATTCAATGTTTGCTAACACATCCAAATACACAGAAGGGACTAGATCAAGATCCAATGCATACCTCTAGGAAATATTCACTGTAAGCCAGATCCCCCAGGACAAGTCAAGATATGCTGAGTTGACCATGTTAGGAGGGGAACTTTTCACCTGCAGCCCAAATTGGAATCTCTTAATTTAGAGCAGATTAGGGGCTGCTCAACATGTTATTGGGTAAAGTGGTTCCCTATGGATAAACAGGGATTACAAGAACACTGCACAGTACAGCTCTGCCCCATGCAACCCTTAACTATATTTTACGTCTATGCAGGAATAACTCCTTGCCTGGGACCGTGGGGAAAGGCTGGCATAGTCAGGGATTTCCCCTTCCTTAGGAAAATCTTTGGCTGCCCTCTCAGGACAGCTCTCTAGCCCAAAAGGCAGGGATACAGAGGCCAGGATCTGCATGTTAGTATTCATCAGTGGGTGAAATTCATCCTTGTGTAGAGGGCTAGCACAAAGTCTGAACATCACTGAAGTTCCACCTAACTGTGTTTTGAGAGCTTCAGTGGGGTTTAAGAGATGCATAGCCCTGTGGCCCTCTTTATCCTTGTATGAAAAGCCTGGGTCTTATGGAAGGAAGGGAGTTTTGAGGGAGATTGAATGTAGAGGCTGTGGGGGCCTTGTGTGAAGGGACATCTGTTTTCTCTCTTCCTAGAGACTAAATATAAGAAAACAGAGTGGACACCTCAGCATTAAACAAGGAAGCTAGATGTGGATGTATATCTTTTTCAGGTATACTTTACAATACTTTGTAATTACATTTAAGGCTGGTCCTGCAAATCTTTCAGTACTGCTGCTGAATAGGAGAATGCCTCTTTACATATCACAAAAGACAAGAAGACCTGTCTCATTCAGGTCTCTAGCCTCAGACTGTTTGGGATAATTACTGAGCACCTCAAAGAGCAATTAAGATAGGGGATGGTGAGGAGAAATGGTGAAAGTACAAGGTTGCATGCAAAAGGTCTTGTGATTTTCCCCTCTCTGAAGAGTATCAAAAAGGGGAACTAGAGTGTAAGTAGAATGACCCCAGGCATAATTTAAACTCGTATATCAATTTAAGGGCCTCATTGAACACCTATTGGTTTCAATGGGCTCTGGATTGGGCCCTAATTTTGTAATGCATTTTGTAAATCCCCCAGGGTCACAAACATCCTAAATATAAGACTATTTATATCTCATAAACAAGGATTTACACTGCCACCAACATCTTTTGAAATGTGCAGATGCCACTGAGAATAATCATGCATAATTTCTCAATTTTAATATAAAATATCTTATCAGCTGATAAGAAAAAGGATGTGTGTCATGTAATCAAGGATAATCAAAATGAGACAAATATTAGCATATCTAATCACCTATCTGTGAATGTTATTTTAAGCCTATAGAGCTTCAAGGTGAGAATGCCCTTCTTAGCGGCACAATCTTCTAAAAGAGAATATTTATATAAAAGAAAATTCACTTAGCAAGTAATTTGCTATATTCACTTTGCAATTATCTTTAATATTTGTCTTTGAAAAAGAATTCTCTTTCACAACACATCTTTTTCCTTTTTCTGTATTCTGGAATTAAAACTCTATTTGTGGCATCAAAATCTGTTGCCATGGAAATTAATGAAATGACAGATTCACCATTATGGATTCACTAGAGGAACCAGTAGGAGGTCTTGTGGGCAAGTGCCGTACATGTGCATTTGGTGCAAGCAACTCATGGCCCTTAGAGAGCCACAGTTCTGCTGTGGGCTGCTCCCCAAACAGGTCCTCTGAGTATAGTTCCAGGATATGCTGTAGTTACTCAATCAGCATAGTCTCCTCAGTAACCAGCATGAAAACCAGTCACTTCTTGAGTTTCTTCCAATGGCTGCTGGCTATCCTCTGGTTCCTGTGACTCAGGGGTTATAACCATCCCTTGTTAGCAGATTGTTAGGCACCACTGCCTAGGTCAAATTGCGCATAGGAGGTGAGCTCCCAGAGATGCTGTTACAATTCTTGACCTTGCCTCTTGACTTGCTATCTGCACTGACAGACAGTCTGGTGGATCCCAATGCCTCAAGTGTCTTTGAAATTTCTTTGTGTGCATGACCATTTCTTGCACTCTTGCTGAAATCAAATGTTTTGCTCTCCTCACACCACAGATTTACCAGAATTCAGTTGTGTTCTTCTGGCTAGCTGGCAGTGCACTTGGTGTAGGGCTTCTTCCTATTGGTGGCCATAACTAACACAAGAGACTATTACGTGTTTCCGGGTGAGTGGCCTGTGTGGGAAAGGAAGAATTAAACACTGAGCAGCTTCATTTGAACTGTATTTGAATCAAGTGAGGTTGCTTCTGGTTCGTCGCAATCAAGTGGGACATTTTGTGACCAAGAAACACAGGCCCAGAGGATTGTGGTATAGCATTGGTGAACTTTCCAGACACGAGTCTGTGAATCGAGGCTTGAGTTGCATCCACACTGCAAAATGTTGGGGCTTGGGCATGAGTCCCAGTAGGATTCCCCTGGTGGGTTCTAGGACCTGGGTCTTGAAAGCTTGCTGACCCAAGTCAGAAAGATTATTGTATGGATGGGGGTGGGAGGGATAGAGGTTGGGCTCAAATTTGAGTCTGAGCCCCAGTTTACAATGCAGAGTAGCCATACACTATGTGCCCTCTGAAATTTCCCTACACCAGGGGAAATTTCAGCTATCCAGATCCAGTTGTTTCCTGGTGCCTTTGTCCCATCCAGAATGGTTAAAAAATGTCAGAGCTCAGAAGAAACTCTCCCCACATTTCTAATATAATCAGGTGACTTTAGATGAATATGTAGAATTAGAGGGGAAAGTTAAAGCTAAATGAGAAAGGGATCTGAATGCAGAATATTGTGAGGGACATCTGTGAACAGATAAAAACAATATCAATTAATGCAAGACACAGAATCATTTTCTTTAATTGAGTTCACAGAGTCCATGTGATGCTGTCTAGGCTATGCAAAGTGAATGTTAATATACAGTTATTAGAAATACGCAAAATGGAAATTTTGGCCATATGTTTTGGATGCGCTAAGAATTCCAAGTGTTTTGGAAGGGCTGTATCATACTTGGAGCATATATTGCACCCCCACTGCATTTTTCAATGGCCAGTATGTCTTATTGATGATCTCTCTCTCCTAGCAATAAACATAAAATCAGATTTTGATGGCAATTAGTTTGGGATCAGGCCCTAAGTGACATTCTATACTTCATGATGCTCCAGACCTGTAAAGACTTCCTATCCTATACAGGAAAATAGGCCATAGGAATTGATATTTTATTGATATAGGAAAAATTACTTACAAATTCACAAGTTGACCCAAGACTTCTTTAAATATGTAGCCTGTATACTTGGGGATGATTCACAGAAGCAGATATAAATTAAGTTAATCCATCAAAAACACTCCTGGGTACAGAGAAGATGCTTGAGATGTGTGCTGGGAGTAAGATTTGGAGCTAACTTCATATTTTGGAATGTTCTTTGGGCAGTACTGGTTTGTGTGTGTATACACACGCACACACACACAGAGAAAGCTGGGTTCTTGGTCCTGCCTATGGCCAAGGATTTCCCTTTGTAGAAGTTCAGATTGCTTCACCTGGTTCTTGACTGATGCAGCTGCTGGTGTAACATAGAGCATCCAAAAGAAGGCTTTAAGGTTGTGCCCGCGAAGGGGGGGGGGGGGGCGTGATACCGGCGAAAGAATGACACTTAGGCTTGAGAGTAAAAAGCAAGGCTTTACTGAGGGAAGAACTTACACTCCAAGCTGCGCGGGGAGTCCCTGAGGCACGCGGAGGGGCTGCGGGGGATTCTGACCATCCAGGACAGCTGGCCAGGCAGGACTCCACTGAAGGGAGTCCGCTGCAATGCTATATCCCCCCG